AGCGTTGATCTCAGTAACATTAACGTCTCTAGAGCTCCATCCAAAGGAGCTTCCTAGGAAGTATTGGTTCTCTATGTAGATAAAGTGCTTGGCTCTCCTTATGGCGTTGATGTAAGCGTCTTGTATGCTTCTTTCGATCACGTTGTCTTTTCCGGTGATAAGTCCTACGCTCGAAGCTTCACGTGGATCCTCGGGGAATCCTTCGACCGCACCATCATCTATCGACCGGAAAACTTGAACCGTCCAGCCTTCTACATTGTCTGATTGCACAATTGGAAGTGGCGGTACCGTGATCTCTGAGAGCTGTGCCATCGATACTAAATACCTTCTACCATTACCTGTAGTAAGTAAAAAATTAGCTTCTAATGAATTAATGATTCAATGCTTTGAGTTTCTTAGAGTTGTTTTGTTGTTGTTATAAGGCTACTAATTTATGTGTTCGCTCTAACATGTGATTTTTCTTTGACAGTTTTATAAAAAAAAAAAAAAAAATCATAAAAAACCCACCAAATTCAAGTTTTGATTAAATGCTCAAGGTGGTGGTTTTTTTGGAAAAGGCACTTATAATATTAATGTAATAACAAACAACTAATATCTAGTTATTTGTTTTAATACCTTGTTTCATCCATCTCTGCTCAAAGTTGTACAAAACATCCCACGCAGCAGGACCATCCAGCTTGCAGTGAATATCGTGCCACGGCTCACGTGGACCGCCTTTTTTAATTGATGCGCCGACAAAGTTCGGCTGGTGAAAGTCATTAGAATGAACATTGTTCAAAGTACCGAACAAAGGATGCTCCTCAGTATCGTACCTCCCATCACAAAGATCAATCCCTCCAAGAAAACTCACGATCCTTCTCTTCGTTTTCGATCCGTCCACTTCAGCGTCCACCACAACGGTTTTCTGATGGTGGCTGAACATCGCAGCCACCTCAAACCCTTGAACAATGCTCCTACCGTTATCCGGATTCCGCGGACAGAGAAGGCAACGCACTTTCGTGTTCTTGAAGTAATCGTAAGTTTCTTGATCATGAGTCATCATCAAACCGTCTCTCTTGAACGCTTCGTTAGACGTTCTATCGTCCCACACAAGCATCAGAACGTTCACGTTTTCTTCCGCCTTCTTCTTCAGCAAATCCCCTAACTTGAGGTTACCCCCTGGTCTCGACCGTTTAGGATCCCTGATCAATGTTATGTCGGTGTAGACCGACCATCCCGTGATGTATATCAGATGTTTTGCGTCCCATATCGCATCGAAAATGTCTTCCCAACACCGATGATGCTGGTAAATCGCTTGTCCTCCCGCAAGAGTAATGTCCGGGAAATCGCCGAGAACATGAGCGTCTTGGTAAAGTGTAACTTTGCAACCTTCTCTTTGGTTGAAAAATGAGTTAGGAACTCCTTTGAAAGAAGGTAATATGATTCCTTTGTTCCAATTTACGTCTTGTGCTACGTTATTGAACTTCACACGGACATGGAGTTTCGAACCACCTTGGACTGGACGCTTGTGTTCGTCTAAAACATCGAGCCATCGGTCTATAGGTTGCCCCGTGATGACTTCGGTGACAGGTAAATAAGCTCGGCCGATCAAGTTTGCACCGATGGCTTCATCTTCTTTGACTGTGAATACGATTTTGGAGATTGAATGTGCGGCGTAGACATGGAAAGATTGGAACCATTTAGGCTGACGTCTCATCATGGTTCGAGCCACCCTTGACCTGTCTAGGTCGATGGTTGCGTAAAGATGACCTCCTAACAAATCTGTGCATGAGGCCGTTAGCCTCTTGATTTGGGATTGAATCTTCTTCCCCGTCGGCTCCTTGTCCCCCTATTAGTCATGTGAGTTTTATCGTACACGTTAAATAACCTTCGTCTATTTTAACATTCGTGTATATAGCCTACAAGTGATTTAGGTACTAGAAACTTAATAAAATCAAAATGATCATCAAAATTATAGGGTGCAATTCAGTAAATAATTTAAAACAATACGCTAGTAAAAAGTTTATTTTTCAACATGTTAATTAATGGACGACACAGAATATGTAATTTAGTGTTTAAATCTGCATGATGCATATTGTTGATAAGTAAAATAATGATTAAGTTTTGTGAAATTAATTAAATTTAGACTATACAGTATATCGATTATTTAAGGGTTTACCTTGCCGCATATATTGAATCTTGCACGTTGATGCAACTTGTCGATCCTATATATTTTCACTTCAAGAGTTCCATGAAGCAGCAACTGTTCCGCCATTTGTTTCACTTAGAAACTATTTTATCGTCAGTTTAAAATAAATAAATATATTTGTACTATTCTCGTGGGAAAGTGGATGATTTTTGTGTAACCACCCTTTTGAGGATCTATCTTTTTGGAAAGGCCCCAAACAGCTAAGCAATTAAATAAAGTATGTAAAACGTAAAAAGTTAGGCTATAACTATAAGGAGAAAAATCGAATTCGAAAATGAAACGTTTGGATTAGGATTGTGGATTACTTGAGGAAACTGCATGAGATTACTAGAAGAAAGAGATGAAGTCTATCAGTGGGGTTTTGAGACAATATGTAAACCTTTTCTTGTAGGCCAAACCGAAGACAAGGGAAGTCCAAAACGGAATATTCTTCTTTTGGACATATTAATTAATCTGACGACTCACGTCTACAATTTTCTTGATTTTATGTACATAATTGATTCCATTCCACCCCAGTATTCTTGTAATTGGTCTAACCTAGAAGAGTCCATTAAACAAGAAATTCTTCATTTACAATTACAGGTAGCCAAAATGATGTTCTAAACTTCTAATTATGTACACTCATCCTCTATGACGTGATGAGACGTATTTCTCTTTGGGCCTTTTTTAGAAGCCCAAATAAAATTGACCTTTCAAGTGCTCCCTTCCTTCCGGTAGGGTAAAAGAAAAACATTTTACAAAAAAAAACATATATCATTCTCAAAAATAACCAAATTATACAGTAAGGAACTAATATTTCATAAAATACAGACACGTTGCTCCGATTGGTAACACATTTTTTATATCGCGGAATTGCGGAATGACAGAAAAAATGAATTGCAAAATAATTTATTGCAGAATTGCGGAATTTTTTTTTAATACGATTGGATAAATTATGGCGGAATTGCAGAATTGTAGAATATACTTATTGAAAATATTCTGCTTTTTACTATATATTATAAAAAAATAAAATATTAATAATTCAATCAATTATTATAAAATGATATAATTCTAATTGTAACTTTTTAATAATTTGTTTTTCATAAAAAAAAATATTGCAAACCTTAAATAATAGATATATCTTTATCATTAAATAATTTGTTGTAACACTAAATTATTTATTTGTATTTATTTAAATAATAAAATATAATTAAATAATATAAACATTGATTCCGTAAATAATCTACTTCAAACACGTTTTTCTGCTTAATGAAATTTTTTTTGTATTTTTTGTAAGTAAAAACGTAATTTCACAGATCTTACATTTTTGCGTTTTTTCGCAGATTTTTTTTATTGACAAAATTCTTAGCATTTTTGAGTTTTTCCACCATTTCATAAAGGTTACAGAATCGAAAAAAATATCACCTCGTTACGTTTATATAATTATATCCATGTGTTTGTCGCATCCTAACATATTCTTTATTTATTTATTTGTTTGATAGTACTGTTACTATCACATAACTGGTACATTTGGCATAGGTTGGTGAATTCATTTATTAAAGCCTAAGGTTTAAATAGTTCTCTGTCTCCTTTAGGTTTATAACATTTAATGCACAACTACAACTGCAAATGTCCGTGGACTTTACCGCGCGACTCACCGACAATTTCTTTGGTTTTTCCATCAGTTAATGATATAGTTACTCAAAATGTATTTATTTACAAAGTTGATATGGTTATTATTTTTACTAATGATACAAAAACTAGATGAATTCCAACAATATATATATGAGGATATCATTTTTCATCAGTTAACTATGTATTCTCAAAAGATATTTATTTACAAAGATAGTATGGATATTATTTTTACTAATGATACAAAAATCTGGATTTAGGTAATTTGTTATAAATTCAATAGCTATTAATTCGAGGGAAAGAGGCGTGTCCATATAATTTTAAAAATATTGTAAATTAGTTTCATTCATTTGTTTATGATTAATTCAGGTTTTATAGATAGAAGGACATCTGCACGAAAATAATAATAATAGACATACATCTATAAAGAACTGAATATACAAAAGTTCAAAAAAAAAAAAGAGATTGAATATACAAGAGACATCATTATTAAAGTACTCGAGAGCGAATGTTAGAGAAAGTAGACGAATTTAAACTGTGCATTTGGTTTACAAACTTCCACTATAGCCTGTAGGCTTCTGATTGGCTGTAAACAGTGCTTTTCGATATGCGTACGTAAGGCCTTAAATCATAAAATGCGTTCTATTAAAACAACAATAATTCTTAATTAGTGACATACATAAATCGAAGAAAGTAGACGAATAAGAAACATGATCACTTGATACCATATGTTGGCGTGGTGACATCAAACTGATCTGTTTTGGTTAATAATCGCAAAAGATTAGTTACGCTTGTTTTAGAGATCAGTTACACCTGTTTTAGAAAAAAAGTGTTTATTTTGTAATTGGACTCTGGAATCATTCGAACCTGTCTTTTTCCAATACTTATTCATTTGAATAATTTATCAGATTTATTTACTTGACTATTACAAATTCTTTTCAGGAAAAATAGTTGTATATAAAAGAATCTAAACACTTTTGTATTGGAAATCATGTACAAATAAAATACTGCAAATAAAATGACACCAAGACACCAACATCAAATATATGTAAGAGACCTTTTGTCATATAAGAAAATACATAATGTTGTATTTTGGTAAGTACTCCTGAATGGTATGCAAAACTTTAGAACTTCCTTTTAACACTTAATTAAAAAAAAAATAGAATTCAGAAGAGAGTAATTAAATTGGACTTACAAAATGATGGGACGTATATTAACTATTACCCCGTGGCACGGGAGAGAGAAAGAGAGGACAATTAATACCATAAAATAAGTAGAGAGGACGTGCAAAAAGCAGAGAGTTAAAGTGAGTAGTTGAAGGTAGAGAGATCAGAAAGAGGAATCTCTCTCTTTCACTCCTTTTCTGAGTTCATGTCAGAAAAACACAGAGAAATTAAGAACCCTAATTTGTAACATCAGAATGGTATATTCGAAGAAGTTCCGAGGTGTCCGCCAGCGTCAGTGGGGTTCTTGGGTCTCTGAGATTCGTCATCCTCTTCTGTCAGTTCTCTCTCTCTCTCTCTCTCTCTCTCTCTCTCTCTCTCTCTCTCTCTCTCTCTCTCTTTCAAACACAAATATTCACATATACAGTATATATATTGCGTTTGTGCAGCATCAGCATGTGTAGTGTATACATAATTCATACATTCAAATAGTTATCCTTAATTATGCTTTTTAAGATTCATACATGTGTATATTAATCGCTTTCCTCAATTTCGTCCAATTAAGGAGACCACATATCATAAATGTTTACATATGTCAGTATGTGTGCAGTATGAGATCGAAGGCTTTTCCATATTTTTTTGTTGTTGGTGTGATGGCTTGTTAATAGTTATAATTTTGCATATACATAAATAAATGCATTGTAAATTTGTAATACAATTGAAATTTATGACTTCTCTGTGTTATATACATTCGCATAATTAATATCTTCCTAGTACTTTGTAAGCATAATTCACATTTTTAGCGCCCTATTATCCTCTTTTGCTAAATCTGTGTATCTATAGTAATAATTAATAACGCATATTAGGTCTATACCGTTTTCTTGATAACTAAAACAACTTTCTAGCAAAGAATTTGGTAAGTAATGAACACAGAACACTACTATTGAATCCTTTTCAAAAAGAAAAAAGAATAATAGAAAAAATGCTTCATATGATGACTATTTTTTTTGTTTTTTAAACTTTTTTTGTTTTAATATAACTTCAATTAATGGGTGTTTGTGTGATCAGTAAGAGAAGGGTGTGGCTAGGAACATTCAACTCGGCGGAAGAAGCGGCTACAGCCTACGACCAAGCCGCGGTTCTAATGAACGGTCAGAAAGCGAAGACCAACTTTCCCGTCATCAAATCCAACGGCTCAGATTCTCGGGATGTTAGCTCTCCGTCAAGGTCGCCGAAATCGTTATCTGAACTCCTGAACGCTAAGCTAAGGAAGAACTGTAAAGACCAGACACCGTATCTGACGTGTCTCCGCCTCGACAACGTCAGCTCACACATCGGCGTCTGGCAGAAACGCGCCGGGTCGAAAACGAGTCAGAACTGGGTCAAGCTTGTTGAGCTCGGTGACGGCGCCAACGCACGTGCCGGTGATATTGGGATTAACAAAATGAAGAAACGAAACGACGACGTTGGGGAAGAAGATCAGATGGCAATGCAGATGATCGAGGAGTTGCTCAACTGGACTTGTCCTGCTTCTGCATCCATTGAAGGTCTAAAGGAGGATCACTGAATTAGATCGATAATCAAGATATAATAAAGAAAATACTCCTATATATTAGTAATCAAGTGTATAATTAATTTACGGTATATGATAGATCGAAATAAGTAAACACTTTTTTTTTTGTTGAAATATATACATATATAGGGTTGTCTGCATGTATTATGTATACATTATAGATACAATCTGTATTTAATTTTAACGAGTTGATATTTGATTATTTTTTCCGTTGAATTTTGTCGACATGATACAGTTACACAATAGAGGCTAGACATGATAAGAATAGAAGGTACGTATGGTAGGGAAGATAGTTAATGAGTTAATAAAAGAAGAGTGAATATATAAATGTGAAAGAGACTAGTCACGCATTTTAAACCCATCTGCTAGTTAGTGAAACTTATTTTAGATTCGGATTCGGATGTTAGTCCTCGACCGAGAAAGCTTTTACTATTTTAACATGGCTAGTAGTTATTATGGCGGGTAAAAAGATTCTTGTTGCGTTCTATATTATCTTTTTATATTTCTGTTTTCGACTTTCTATATCATACGAATTGCATTTTCATATCGGACAAAATTCTCATTCCTGTTTTATAAGTAAAATGGGACCGGGAAACAAGCAATCGACGTTTACAAATTAATGTTGGGAGTGTAATTAAATGTACACAAAATATAAGTTTCTAATTCTAAATGGTTAACCCCTCCCATAAAGTGTATTTAATTGATAATTAAAGTTTTAAAAGTATAATAATATTGTGCAAATATCCATTTCAAAATTAAAACTTATGGATTTATATCCTATTATTACATCATTATCTAAGGCAATATGAATAATTAAATATTGGTAATTTGTGATTAAAAAAAAGAAATATATATTTGGGTGCACTTCCGTTACGTGGGAGTCTCTCTGTCTTTTGTGGTAAACTCTCGGAAACGTTATTTCAGGATCTCACCAAATTCAACAAAGTTCGGAGAAACCGCCTTCTCCGCCGCAGAACCACCGTCGTCCGGAGAGAAACACACACACACACACAAAAAAACTACGAGCATCCAAAAGCCAGCCAATATGGGGAAAGGAGGAGCACTGAGCGAAGGCGTGATAAAGAACATCGTCCTCTCCTACACTTACGTAGCGATATGGATCTTCCTCAGCTTCACCGTCATCGTCTACAACAAATACATCCTCGACAAGAAGATGTACGACTGGCCTTTCCCGATCTCCCTCACAATGATCCACATGTCCTTCTGCTCAACCCTAGCTTTCCTCCTCATCAAGGTCCTCAACTTCGTCGAGCCCGTCTCAATGTCCCGCGACACTTACCTCAGATCCGTCGTTCCCATCGGCGCGTTGTACTCACTCTCCCTCTGGCTCTCCAATTCCGCTTACATCTACCTCTCCGTCTCCTTCATCCAGATGCTCAAGGCGCTCATGCCAGTCGCGGTTTACTCGATCGGCGTTCTGTTCAAGAAGGAAGGCTTCAAATCGGAGACTATGGTTAACATGCTCTCCATCTCCTTCGGCGTCGCGATCGCTGCATACGGAGAAGCTAGGTTCGACGTGTGGGGCGTGGTTCTACAGCTAGGTGCGGTTGCGTTCGAGGCGACGCGGTTGGTAATGATTCAGATCTTGCTTACGTCCAAAGGAATCACGTTGAATCCCATCACCTCACTCTATTACGTTGCTCCTTGCTGCTTGGCTTTCTTGTTTATCCCCTGGATCGTTGTGGAGTTTCCGATTCTGAGGGATACGTCAAGCTTCCATTTCGACTACCTCGTCTTCGGGACGAACTCGTTCTGTGCGTTTGCGTTGAATCTTGCTGTTTTCCTTCTTGTGGGGAAAACCTCTGCCTTGACCATGAATGTGGCTGGTGTGGTTAAAGACTGGCTCTTGATCGCGTTTTCATGGTCGGTTATTAAGGACACTGTGACTCCGGTTAATCTTTTCGGTTACGGGATCGCGTTTTTGGGCGTTGCGTATTACAACCACGCCAAGTTACAAGCGTTGAAGGCTAAAGAGGCTCAGAAGACTGCTCAGCAGCAGGTTGATGAAGAGAGTGGTCGGCTTTTGGAAGAGAGGGTTGGAGACGAAGGTGGGAGGAAGAACGATCCAGAGGATTAAAAAGGTGAAGCATTTGATTGGTGAAATTTATGATTTTTTTTTGTTGGTCAAGTTAAAAATATTTGTTGGAATAAGATGCTTCAAGGAAACACTTTCATTTGGTTATTTTTTTTTTTAACGTGAACATGTTACCACTGTTTCTTTCTTATTTGTTTTTTTACAGTTATACATTATAACAAACTTGCATAGTTTTTTTAATTTAGATTATTTATTTAAATTGATATTATATTTTTTTATAAAACAAATTAGTACTCTTCTTTATTTTTATTTTGTTTTCCAACTGACAAATTAATAGTATTCTTTATTTTTTTCTGTTATTCCTTTATTTATTATTCTGTTATTCTATTATTTTTATTTATATTCCAAAAATAATTTATCTATTATTTATTATTTCATTTTCATAAAACAATTAATACTCTTCTTTATTTTTCTTTTGTTGTCCAACTGACAAATTAATACTCTTCTTTATTTCTATTATTTATAATAAAAGATATAAAACAAATTTATAAAACAAATTTACTACTCTTCTTTATTTTTCTTTTTTATATTATTTTTTTTGGTGAAAAGATATTTGAAGAAGAATTATTTTGGTTAGTGAAAAATTGTCTGAGATTTTGTTTATTTATATAGACTAGGTATATAACTCGTGCTACGCGCGAGTCTGTATTAATATTTTGGTTTAAAAGTTATATATATTTATAAAAAAATCATTTATATAAGAGAATTTAATATATAATGTGTAATTTCTACTATTTTATTTATAAATTTTAAAAAACTATTAAGTAAAATAATAACAATGATACCTATCGATTATCCAACGTTGACGTACATATACATTTGATTTAGAGATATATAATCTTGCTAAGGTTTTGGTATTATTTTCTGTTTTTCATAGAATTTATATAGTTTTTTTTTTCTTGAAGGTTTATATGTTCAAATATTTAGTTTTTTATTAAAAGTCTTATTGATGTTGTGTACCACTGTATATATAATCCATGATTCATATTGATTCACATTTAATTTTGTTAGAAAGCTGTAATGATCGTGCAAAACCATTGTTTCTTTCTCCATCATGTCTTCCAAAAGTTTTATGTTATATTTTTATTCAGTTTTCATTATTTTAGTTGTTAAATCGAGTTGTTGTACATTTTTTAAAAATTGATAATTGATAATGGTTACTTTTTTTATACATGTATTGGTAATTGTTAATTTTTTATTTAACTTTTAAATTTTTAAACCATATTAACATTTTCTGATTAATAAATATGTTGATTTGGATCAATCATATTGAATTTACTTTTTTTTGTTAGACATAATTTGTTAAATTAATTTTTAATTTTTAATTATACTTAATTTTTGGTTTGATTTAAAAGCTGATGTGGACCAGTTAAATCAAGTTTCTCTGTCCTAATCATACTTAACATTTTTTTATTTAATGAATATGCTGATGTGGACTAATCAGATCGAGTATTTTAATCCCATGTGGACGCGCTTAATGCACTATGCCATCAACTTTCATATATTATATGATGTGAATATTATTTTTTTTTTTTTTGAATTAGTATTTTATCTTAGAGTTGCCTAAATTGGAGTTTATTTTATTTAATTATATAAGATTGAAATATATTTTCTATTTTTTGAATATTGTCTTTCTTTTTCTTATAGGATTAGTATTTTTTTAATTGAAATATATTTTAATTGCTTTCTTTTTTCTTATAGGATTAGTTGAATTATATTTTTTTTCCTTTTTTATTAAATAAATCTTCTTCTAATTGACACATGTCAAAATCTTATAAATTTAAATCGATATGTATCGCGATCATGTGAATTAGTAACTTTGATACATTTAGCTTTATATAATTACATTAGTTGATAGCAAATCAGTACTTTTTATATCTAATAAGTTATAGTATATTTGTAGTAAATAAAATTTGTTGTATGATTTGGATCCAGTTTATAACATATTTTGGAATATATATAATATTATACATAATGTTTTATATCATTTAATTACTATATATAAAAATATATTACAAATATTTTTTTGTTAATATTATTTTTATTATATTATCTATGTACTAAATTTAAAATCTATTACAAGTGTATCTTTGTTAAATTTTTATTATAAGCTTTTTTGTCTTTATACTTATAGAGCACAAGTTAATTGATAATTGTGAATTTAACATGTGGTATTTTTTTAAAGATAATTTTGTTATCGTTCTTACATTTTAAATCTTTTTAATTAATTATGATTTTCTCAACCTTCATCTAGCAAAACCACCCACTACTTTACAATTTCCGCAATTTCAAAATAAAAACCAAACTGTATTCATTCCATCAAATGATAAGTGGTAAAAAGAAAAAGAAAACAGTCCAATCCTTTCATTTTATTGTTCTTGTTCTAGACCTAGATTAATAGAAACGGAACGGATACGTGGAAGCGGAACGTTTTGAAACGCAGAAACATTATTGTAAAATTATTACAATTTTTTTTTCTCAAATTAATAAGTTAGCCTATTAAACTTTTTAGACAAGATAACGATCAGTTATTTTTCTCAAATCGGATAAATTACAAAGATAGTAGCATAAACGATCAGAGCTTATCATATGCTCCACTAAATGGTAACAAATTCACACAAAATTCAAACAAAATAATTTCTCAATAATTACACACATTTGATTAATCTTTAAAATTATTTGTTCTCATACCAAATACTGGTTTTTATCATAAATCTTTTAACATTTTTTATTACATTATATTATTTTTTCTTACATTCGTCTCAGTTTATGACTGGAGCTCTATCTCTAGAATTCGATGGATTTTGACGTTTTCTACCTTTCATTTAAGCTTCATAAAATAAAATTAAAACCAAGTCCTATACAATAAATAAAATACAAAATGTAATTAAAATATACAGTTTTGGATTAATACTGAGGTGTTATTCTCAATAATTACTATATTTGATTATTTTTTGAAATTATTTGTTCCTATACCAAATATTGATTTTTATTATAAACATTTTAATATTTTATTATGTTATATTATATTTTCTTACATTCGCCTCAGTTTATGGGTGGATCTCTATCTCTAGAACTGGATGGATTTTTGCGTTATCTG